TGATCTTAGCCAAAAGGCCGAGAAGCGATAGATCATCTCTGTCCAAACAAGGAGATTCCTGAATTCCAGAACCTCTGACAACTCTTCCCTCCATCTTCAAGACTCATCTGTGCCGTGTTGTTTGCTAATGCAAAAAAAAAAAAATCAGCATAACAGGGGCCATCAGGGCAGAAAACAGAGGGTTCCTCACACTGGGCTTGTTTATAAGATTATGGACATGGCATGGGGCAGGTAGGGCTTCTCAAGCTTGTCCCCAGAAATGTATCCCCCACAGAGAAGTGTTCGCAAGTCTCACTGGATCCCTTTTTGGGTTGAGGCAGGGTTTCTCAGTCTCAACTCTATTGACATTCTGGGCTGGGTCGATCTTTGTGGTGGGGCCCATCCTTTGCATTGTGAGATATTTAGCAGCATCCCTGCGTAGATTTGGGACCCTAGAGCCAACTGGTAACCTTTAAATTGTGAAGACCTACAGACATTGTTTGCTGCCTGCACGAGTAACACCAACCTCGAGTAGCAAGATGCTTTCTGTGAGCTCTAGCTTCGCTTTGCTTGAAGTGCTCCAACGAGCATAGCAGAAAAGATGTGGCACCAAACTGTGGAAAGAGCCAAGATGTCCATCGACAGATGAATGGATAAAGAAGATGTGGTATATATATACAATGGAATATTATGCAGCCATCAAAAGGAATGAGATCTTGCCATTTGCAATGACGTGGATGGAACTGGAGGGTATTATGTTGAGCGAAATAAGTCAAACAGAGAAAGACACGTATCATATGACCTCACTGATATGAGGAATTCTTAATCGCAGGAAACAAACTGAGGGTTGCTGGAGTGGGGGGTGGGGTGGGAGGGATGGGGTGACTGGGTGATAGACACTGGGGAGGGTAGGTGCTCTGGTAAGCGCTGTGAATTGTGCAAGACTGTTGAATCTCAGATCTGTACCTCTGAAACAAATAATGCAATATATGTTAAGAAAAAAAAAAGAAGAAGAAGGTAGCAGGAGGGGAAGAATGAAGGGGGGAAATCGGAGGGGTAGACGAACCATGAGAGACGATGGACTCTGAAAAACAAACTGAGGGTTCTAGAGGGCAGGGGGGTGGGAGGATGGGTTAGCCTGGTGATGGGTATTGAGGAGGGCACATTCTGCATGGAGCACTGGGTGTTATGCACAAACAATGAATCATGGAACACTTCATCTAGAACTAATGATGTAATGTATGGGGATAATATAAGAATAAAAAAATTAAAAATGCAAAAAAAAAAAAAAGAAAAGAGGTGGCACCACTGTTCATGTTTTATGTGTTGAATTGTGTCCCCTCCTCCCCCGCAAAGATATGTGTCCCATTCTCTAAGGCTTGTGAATGTTCCCTTCTTCGGAAATGGGGTCTTTGAAGATGTAATCGAGTTAAGATGAGGTCCTTCTGGATGAAAGTGAGCCTTCATCCGGTATGACTCCTATCCTTACAAGAAGCAGAGATAATAGATAGACATGCACCAAAGGAAGACGAGGTGAAGACCCTCAGGCGGACGAAGGCTGTCTGATAACAGAGACTAGGGGCATGTGTCTACAAGCCGAGGAACTCCAAGGATGGCTGGCTACACCAGAAGCTGAGAAGGGCATGGAATGGATTCTCCTCTCCAGCCCTCACAGGGAGCCTGGCGCTTCCACTATGATGCCATCCAGCTATGGGTTTGCTGCTTTCCTTTGTCCAGGCCACACCTATTTGTGGGGTGGGTGGGCTAAGTCTTAGCCATCCAGGTGGGATGTAGTAAGCAACCAAAAATAAAAGTTTTTGTCTCTTGCTGGGAGGTGTTCATTCCGTGCAATTGTGGTTACCTAAGGGATGGCACCTGCTTGTCTGTGTTCTTTTAAAAAGGATGGGTCAGGAAGAAGGGTAAAATGGCAACGAGTCAGATTATTTGGGAGGTTGCTGTGAATTCACAGAAAAGTTCTGAATTTAAAATATTTTAAAACAATTACACTTTTATTATAATCAAGAAGTTAATAAACTGTCATCTTAAAGATGTCCTTTGAGGGCTTGCTTTAATGAACAAATGAGAATAATTAATAATTTGTGTGGCACTTTTGGGGAGCTTGAGGGGAAAAGAACCTGGTGAAATTAGATGCTAATTACCACACTAGAATCCAGGAGTATGTCTGGAATACCCAATGTCACATTTTTGGGATGCCAGCTAAAAATATCAGCACTACAATAGGGAAAACTCAATTTCTAGTTATCTAATATTTATTAAATGCATGAAAAATAATTTATTAGTTTTGTTAAAAGGAGAATTCAGAAGAATCCGTGCCAATTAATTTACCAGGGCTATATTTTAATAGACTTTCAAAAACACTTGTCCTGAATTAATTACTCCTAGACGGTTATTGAAAAAATCCTATTAAAACTCAAAAGCCACCTTCCTGTATTCATTCACTTCCTGACAATGAATTCGAAGGTAATTTCAGTGTCGCTGGCACGCAGGCTCCTCAGAGTTCACGTACAGAGTCACAAAGTGCAGTTCTCTTTTTCAGGCTAGAATATATACCGCTGGCCCTTCACGGTCTCCAGAACCAGCAGGCTTTATCTCCAATGTCTCTGTTTCCAAGTTTGGAATATTTCTTGATCCCATCAATGCCATCTTTAGGAAATTCACAGCATGTGTTGGCTCCTTGATTCAGAAAATCTTTCCTCTCCTTCACCAGTCTCTCCACCTAGGACTGGCTGTTAGGTAAAGAATCCAGCATCTCAGAACTGATATGCAAGTTGCATAGGATTTTAGGAGATGAGAATGTATGTACCCATTCTCAGGTCTGGGTGGGCTGCAAGAGGCTCAGGAGGCAGGGCAAACCCAAATGTTACAACAAAGAGAAAAAGAAATACGTAAATAAAAAACAAAAAGCAAATGAGCAAACCAACAAATAAATAAAACAAGAGGGCACTTATATTACCCAACGATGTGGTAAAACTGACAGCCCTAAACACGAAAGATCTGATTATCATTACATGTATGAAACAGCACGCATCACATGGCACGTGCTATTTATATGTATGCAAATAGTTGTCATTGCTCCTTGATCTGAAAAATATATTTATCTAGTCCCTGCAACGTTTGCACCATGAAAATGATTAGCCAGCCTTTTCTTCACGGACCGAGGTTCGCTCCCGCCCAGCTTCTGTCAAAACCATCATGTAATATAAATTAGTGCTGTCCAAACTCATTAGATCTTATTAATTACGAGCTTGCTGGTTCCTAGCAAGACACATAGGAGGGATTTGAAACTCACCAACGTGTTGTAAACTCTGGAAGCAGGAAAGTTGAATAAGGCAGAGAGGAAAAACTAGAACACATGTTCACAGCTGAAAATCAGTATGGACAAAAATTTAGCTGGAATGTAATTAAGTGGGAGTTTCAGACCCCAAGGTATTACTAGACGGTTGGTTGGGTCCACTGGTCTGCAGCTGGCTTTTCCGGCAGCTGGGGTCCCGGCAGAGTAAGGGTGAGTGAGGGAACTGTATACAGCTGACAAGGAGAGGTCTCAGCTTGAGTTGCTGGTGAGGATGGAAGCCCAGGGAGCATTTGGAACTGAGAACTTGCTCTGAGCTCAGGCTTGGCTCCGGATTTAAACCCACTCCGCAGAGTAGACCATTGCACGGCAAGACGCCCAAACATTTCCTATTCTCCATCGATTTGTGCAGGAACCCCACGGAGACAGGGAGCCACCACCCATGGCTGAAAGCACAGAGATTGGAGCCACTGCCTGGGGACAGACTGTGGTACATACTGACCCTCCCTGGGCCTCAGAGCTCTCGTCTGTAAAATAGAGATAGAAATAGTATCTCCTTCAGGGGTTGTTAGGATTAAATGAGGTCATATTTGTAGAAGGGTTTAGGACAGCGGCAGGCTGATAATAAATGCTATATGTAGATGTTTGACAAACAAATTAGGAGGTGAGCTCTGGTCTGTTGTTTTAGGATGACAAACACAGGTGAGGAATCCTGCCACCTAAGCAAGCATAAAGGGATTATATTCTACTTTCTTTTGGTGGGGACCTCTGGGTCTTCTCTGCCATGGGGAATTGGCGAGAAGTGGGGGGGAAAGGAGGGGAAAGGGGGGGCAGGGAGGGGAAGATAGAAGGAGGGAGGGAGGGCGGGCATGCCCAGGGGCACACCTGGAGTCCTTGATGTCCCAACCACATGAGAAAGAGAGATGTGTCCTGTGTTCATCCCTCCTTGCCCTCTGTCTCTCCGTCCCTCTTCCAGCCGGAGAGCCTCGTGGGCAGGGTCTTGCCCTCTGCTGGCTGTACACCTAGTTTCCTTGTTGCCTGTTACCCAGTAAGGCTGAAGTCACTCCTTCCAAGCATTGCTGGTTCGTTCCCAGGAAATGTTGAGAACCTTCCACAGAGCCCTTGAGCATTCCGAGAACGCATTACGAATCATAGGCCGTGCGGCAGGAGAAATCCGAGGCAGTGACCTGACCAGCCGGCTGTGTGATGGCCACCCACCAGAAAGGCTGGTCAGCTCTGTATCCAAAAACACTATCCTCTCGGCCCAAATACTTGAGCACGGGGGACTCTCGAACGTTCCAAAGTGACTAAGCATGTAGGGATCCAGAACAACCATGGCATGAAGCAGCCAGGGGACTGACTGTAGGATCTACAATGCTAGTGGAGCACTCCAGCCGGGGAGTGGAGCCGGAGGCATGGTTCCAGAAGGCTTCTGGAAGGACACAGAGCAGAGCCCACAGAATGGAATTGATAAGGAGAATCTGTGTCCTAAGATGGCCGACCGAGCCAGCAGGAGAGTCCCAGTCCTTGCCCCGGGGCTCTTCCGGGTTCTTCTCCCTGTTCTGCTTCCCGCGCGCACCAATCCGGGTCCTTCTTCCTGCCCCGCTTCGCGCACGCGCCCAAAGTGCCAAGTATACGGAAGTAGAAGCGTATAAATTGCCCCCTTTGTTTGTCCTCGGGGCTCAGACCTTTGGAGACCACGCTCCTCTGAGCCCGCCGGCCTTAAATAAACCTCCTATCCTCCAAGATCTCCGGGTGTCGCCTGGATCTTCCGACCGGCCATCCAGTCCAGGTTCCGGAACAGAATCACAAGGCATGCTGGGAGTGTAAAACACACACCCGATTTCAGAGACGTGGTCAAGCTGCAACATCTCATCCATCATTCTTACATCGATTACAGAATGAAATGATTACATTTTTTAAATACTGGATTAAACAAAATACATTCTTAAAAATCATTCTACTTTTTACTTTTAAATGCTGGCTATTGGAAAATCAACTTTGGGGCTCATGTCCTCTTTCCAGCGGACAGCGCTGAACTGAAAATTTCTGCAGAGGAAAACAGCTCACAGCCCAAGAGCCAGAGACCAAAGGTAGGTGGATCCTCACGGGGCAGAATCGGAGAGAAAGTGCAGAGAGAAGGACATTCTGAGGGAGGGTCCAACGCAGGCAGCTCTCAGGTAGAACAAAGAGGAGAGAACGAGCAAATTATTTACCACGCGGGGACAAAAAATATATACCTGGCATGGCTCTCCTGGGAAGCTCCTGGAGAATGTGTTTCAGAAACACAAAATAGCAAACCAAGGAGAGACAAGATCCAGCCTGGAGAATGGTTGGCGGGCGGGAGGATGGTTTCAGGATAATAGCTGTGTGCCTGGTTTTAAGATCAAACCAGTGTGTTCCAGAGGAGGAGGGGGCAGGGCGGGCAGGGTGCTCTTTTTGGGGCGTGGGGGGCAGATGAGGAGAGTCAGGTGCCTCTGTGAGTCTGAGCATTTGGCAGAAGCACCAACAGACATTGGAACACATGTGCAAACAATCGGCATACATCTCTACAAAACTAAAAAATGGCACAAGACATGTTAATTCCAGAACGTGTTCAGAGTTGTACAAGAAAGGAAATGCAGCCATCCTTGCAGAGAGCTTAGGAAGCCATAATGTAAAGACTATCTAAACAAAAATCATAATATCTAGATTGAAGGGAACGGGAGGAGTTTAACTGGGGTTGTTAGCCCGCAAAATCCTCAGCTACCATAATCAAAGTTGACAAAATGAATAAATGAAGAAATAGCAGTATGTGCTTATTTTTTAGAAATATGCAGATAAATTGTAGAAGAAAGAGGTAAGAGTAGAAAGTTGTAGCTTTGTGGGTGAATGGGATGGGGGTTTGGAGGGATGGAGCAGGGCGTTTTGATAATAATTTTTGACTGAGCTATATGCATGCTTTCGTTGGATTTAATACGTATTTTTAAGTTCATGGAGATTCCTGGCCAGGTAATCTTCCTTGTATGAAATGAAATTTCGCCAGAATTTGGGTCTTAATCGTCTGTTTTTTCCTTGTACCACATAAAGAAGCAAGTTTCAAAATAGTTGCCCTTACCAACCAATTCCCCACGTCAGTGGGTTCATGGCATCGTCTGTGGGCCACCTTAGTCCTCTCCGTCTCTTGTCTTTCCTGCTCAGAGACACCATGCCAAGGTGCCTGCCCCTCGCCGCCAAGGCAGAAAGCTCCCCTTCCCCCGCAGCTCCTCTTGCCATGAATTCTTCTCAGAATCCTTCCTCCTCCTGGCATTCCCCAGATGTAGAGGTCACCCCTCGATGAGTTTACAGATAGAGGGTAAGACGCTAATGCATCCTTGGGATAGCGTTTGTTAAAAATAAAATTTTGGTGTGCATATTTTAAAAGGACTCAGCGTGGATCCGAAAATACACATGGAGACGGGGAGGATACACAAGGGGACCTCTCACATCTCCTACTCTTTCATCCACTCAAGGAAACTTGGTTTTCAAGGGGGCTAACTTCTCCACCTAATTGCATCACTTTTTCCCCAGCTGCGTTTTTAGAGAAAGCGGTCTCACCTCTTGGATTTCACAACTGACAGGATTTGCCATGTATTCACTGGGAAAAAAGATCATCTTTTCTGTAGAGATGTGAGCACTTGAAGAAAGCCAAATTCTGACAGTCTGATAGATTTTTCGATCACCGTTTTTTTTTTTTTTT